TTGAGGGAGGTACCTTTCAACAGGGTTATGAATTTTCGGAATGAAAAATTTCTTAACAAGAGACAAGAGGAAATAATGGAACAAATGCAGCAAGTGTAATTGTGTATGATCTATGGTTTTTCTAATTCTACTTTCCCTTACTCTGTTTTTAAGAAAAGTGAGCAATAAAGTATTTTGGGAGGGGGAGTAGGTTCTTGCACCATTGACCTTGGGGGGGGGGGGCACTCCTGACTATTATTGTTTATTTTTTAAATTTATTTTAATTTTTAATTGTTATGGTCAGTGTAATAATTTAGATAATTTTACCCTTTAAATAATAAAATCATTTTTTTTTTAAATACAACAAAATAATATTTATGGCTACAAAGATAACAAAACCTATATTACATATCTATATACTATGCCTCACTCCTAAGTGATAAAGTTAATTGAAGATATGTCAACAGATACAATAATTGTATTTCTCAAGAAAAGGAAGTATCCCTAAAAAGTTGAAAATTTAAGATATAAAAGAAAATATAGTTAAACAGAAATTGTTAACACGACTTCACGATTTATTATTAAATTTATAATTTATTTAATCTAACTATTAATACTTGAAATTTCAAGATTTTTATTTCAAAGGTTAAATGTAATGTGAACAATTTTTTTTTTTTCAATTCGTATCCTATACATGGTTATTCTGAGTTTACACATAGACATATTTCAAAGTTATTATACTATGAAAACTGTATTTAAAATAAAGACATAATTAATATTCCAGCACATACAAAAACGTTCTTTCATTATCTTAAGTGTGTGTTCACGATAGTACCTTGAATTTTATGTTACAAAAATAACAAAGGAAAAAAACAAACACAAAGTTTTCAGAAACTTTATAATTAAGCACATTAATTATAAGAATAGAAATAGTTTACGGCTAAATTTAATATCACAGAGGCAGTAATACATAAATTAATTCTAGATTCTATAAATACAAAAAAAAATCTATAAATATTTAAAACAAATAGATTTTTATCAAAGAATATAAAGTTGAGACAATAAGCCTATGACCCTTAGGGGTAGAGGCTAAATAAAACAAATTATAAATTTTAATTATTGGATTTTCGGTGAAAACCTAAATAACTTTTTATTTTAAAATGGTCATAATCTAGGTATACCCACAATGCATCTGAAAAATAACATTTGTTTTCAGGAAGTAATCCTTCAGAAATCAGTTTTCCATTGTATACATCAAGAAGGGAGTACTTAGGCCTCGACAAAAAAGAATGCCATATAAATAAACAATTAGAGACTATTTTCATATCATGACATCTTCTTTTATTTTCTGGAGGAAACATGTGCCAAATGATGGATCCATTAATAGCATCTATGCACGTGAACCTACAGATGACTTTACTTTTTTCAGAAAGCACTACTAAGTTTTTAATGGGATGAATGACCATATCAGTTTGATATAAAACACTTTTAGAGACAAATCTCTTGTTAGTTTTGATACCCCATGTTTCAACTGTTTGTGAATGCTTATTTCCTATCACAACAATTTCTTTATTGAAACATAAGTCCCAACAACTAATTCTGGATCGGAAAACGACCTTACCAGTTCTGTCAAACAACTTAATTCGATCTTCATCCCAACTAGCAACGTAAGGGATATTAACTATGTAACGGAAATATGATAAACCATCGTACGCATTGATACAACCAACAGCTAAGTCAATTATATACAAACGATCGTTAAAATTGTCATTCAACCAAAGGTATCCATTTGAAAGTGTTTTAACTTGAAGAGATACATCAAATGAAAAAACTGATTTCATGAACTTTTCATCATAATCCACAAAATGAAATTCATCTGAGTGATACGCAGCAATCTTGAAAGGCTCATAAGTTGAAGAGTTTTTTTTAAAAACAATAACTATATTGTAATTTGAAATAGCAATATAATTGCTACTTAGTCCAATTGTTATAGTAAAAACTTCTCTAGGGAAATTTTCAAAGCATGACATCTTTAAGCACTTGACGCCATCAAGGTTCACTTCATATACCATTAAATTTCCGGCTTTGTAATAATAAACAACACCTTTATTGCCCTCCCAAAGATCGATGAAATGTGAATCGTACGTAGAAATCTCAAATACATTACAATCTCCTGTTCTCCAATTTTTTAAAGGCATTAGGTAATGAGTAACATAAGTTGATGCCCACAAGCATAAGTCGTTACAATCTATAAAATAGAAAAATTATCATTTCATACGTTCAATTAGTTATAACAATTAACTATAAAAAGCTTGACCCCTGCCTTCAACATTTTGTGAAGGTTCATCAATTCCTAAAAGGCTGCATTGTATTTTCCATAATCTATTAGTATTTGAAACATCTCTCCATGTTTTCGATACAGCAAGACATCTCCACAAATCTTCATGATTCAAAAAACGAAAAATTTCTTCCAGTATTTCAAAAGGAATTCCTTTATCTTCCATTTTCTGAGAAAATTATTAAAGAATCATTAATTATAAACAATATGAGTCAAATTAGAAGACTTCTGCTTCTAGACTTTCTAAATAAAAAATATTTTAATGTAGATCAGATACAAATCCTACCTATTGGATACAATTAAATAAAAATCAACAAAGAATAGAAACGAGACATTCAAATAATAATCATGCAACAATTATCTATAAGTACCTTCCACAGGAATTGGTACACATTAATATTCTATTGCTATTACATAAGTGAAATATTGATACTACAAATATACAAAATAATGTTAAAACAAATCAAAGTATACATTTTAGTGAAAATATTAAAAATGATGTAGAGATGGTTGACCATGATATAATATGGGAAGGAGTTGGTTGGAGGGTGAGGTCAAATAAATACTAAATTTTTAAAACAGTATTTTAATCATTAAAATACAATTTTAATAATTTAGTATCTTTTGACCGCACTGCCCAACCAACTCATTCTCAGAAAATATTAAGACTTTAGAAAGTCAAGAAAAAACTTCTTATAAAAAAAATGTGAAAACAGAAAAAATGGTATTAACCCAAAGTAAAACAATTATCCAAATTTGACAGAATCCGAGCATAGAATCTTTTTTTTAAACCCCTCTTGACCCTTTTGTCTTCTGCCATTAGTCTTCTCGCAGCATTGAGGATATTATAGGCGGTAAGTTGTAATCGTTATGTTCCCTTCTTATGTAGATGATATCCAGGGAGTACGTTGTTTATAAGTACCTGAAGCGATCACAATCACTCCCTCTTCATCAGGATGATTGGCAACCTTTTGCATACATCTCTATCCTGTTGTTGTTTTTTACGGGATAGGGTTATTAGCCCTGTGCTCAACCCCCCCAAATATGGAGGACCAAAGGACCTATGTTATAAGACACAGGGGTCGCTCTCATCTTCCTGTGAATCTCAAGGTGGGGATGTTACCATCCCCATATGGGAATCGAACCTGCAATCAGCAATCAAGTAGGGACTGCACTTATTTATTTATTATAAATTATTTATATTTTTATCCACAACCCCCATAAATTCTAATATTATCAATTTCTAATTTCTAATTTTTTTTTTTTTAATTGCAGAAATTAGAACTTGTGGACATGCAAGTATCTAAATAAACAATTTTGGATTAAAAAAAAAAATATCACATCACTTGGTATGTATACAAGAAAGAGGATACATTTTACCATTACAAGGAAATATCTCACTGCTCCAATTAATGATATTTATAGGAGCATTTATACTGATCTAATAGAGAAAAATGATGGGATCTTTCCTGATTATCTTTACAAACAGATGTTGATTATAACTTATATCTTCATTAAGTACCAAATTCTAGAAAAACTAATATGAGATTTATAAATAAATAGTGGTATAGGGCAAGTTCCTAAATTCAGTGCTCAGCTCATAGATGGGCATCACTTTGCTCAGTTTAGAGACAGATTCTATGTCATCAATGAGTACTATGACTACCTTTCTCAGGAATTGGCACACATATAAAAATTCTCTTGTTTATTACATCAGCGAAATATATACAGCTACTACAACACCTATGACATGTTTATCCACTATGATTTATTTAAGCCACTGCAGAATTGTATTACTTTGATAGCTCTGACTCATGGCTGGTATGTATTGGAATGTACTGCCTCCAGTAGGAGACATTACTTTGACAGATATGGGGTTGGTCAAAGCTATTGTTCTCACTAATAGTCTGTCAAATGGTGGCAGCCACCATTCTAAGGAAACTGAGTTGAAGTAAGGTATACTGGTTTGAAATCATACTCTGTAGATTAGTAGTATTGAATAATTATGACACATAGTTGGATATAAAAATAAAAAGAAGTAATGGAAAATTCAAAGTAAAAGTGGTAAAAACTTAGGGAATAGACTGACATTGAAATAAATAATGTACTTAGTACCTACAATTACATTTAAACTAAAAGCATAACTGAATGTCAAATAAAGCAACCACTTGAAGATAGATTTTAAGTTTACCTCATCAACAATATCATGAGATAAATAATCGCAATTGGTGTTAAGTATGCAAGATAAATGTAAATCTAATCTGTTGAGTATCACGTAAAATAAAAAAATGCTCTCTAAGATAAAGTTAATATAAAACAACCAAACAACGTTTGATGATTAAAAATTTAAACATTCAAATAATGATAAATCTTAATTAAAAATTAATATGTGGGAAAAAATGTTTCAGCTTAATTTGACACATTTTGAATTGACAGCTTATCGAGATAGATCAATACAACTGAGCATTGTCTTTATTCTTCAATGAATTGGATTACTTAAAAAATAAATAAAATAATATATATTTATTGAATAAAAATTACACTTCAATATTTAAAAAACTAATAAATGCACTAAGGAACGAATGGTAATTGACGTTCTGTAATAATCGATTAATATTAAATTAAAAGAACAACAAAATATATTTTGGGAGGTTTCACGATAACAGAAATGTCAGGTTCATGTAAACAATCTCAGTGTTCTTTTCTGACGTTATCTTCGTAAAAAGAAGTGGTATCTATACTTTAACAGGATTTTTGAAAAACAGTTTATAATAATGAATCTTATTCTAGCTGTTAAACTTTATATAACTAAAATGGCTGAAGAGAGTGGACCAGGAATGAAAGTATTATTGATGGACAAACAAACGGTAATTTATGTCTATATTTTATATTCTGTATTTTTATTCCTATAAACTTAAGTTGTCTTTAATTCATAATGAGATTTACATGTTAGTAATTGACTGATTTTTCATTGAACTTTTATTCTTTCAAGAAGCATAGCTTCATGTTGTAATTTTTCATTGACATGTTTTTTTTTAAATTCTTAAGTATCTAAGTGATTTCTTGAACTGGTTAAGATTTTAAGATAGAATAAGTTTTTCGTCTTACACAAAATATAGGAAAAAAAATATTTTTTTGTGCTTAGTATGATAAAATTTCTCATAAATAAGCTGATAATGTTATTTCCTTTAAATTATCTATCTGATATGTTACCGTGTACAAATGTCACTCAGCTTTGACGAGTGGCCCAAGATCTCATTATCACACTACAAATAAAACCTGAGAACGGCTGAGTGTGTCTGGAAATAGACAAAGGTGATCAAACTGTCTGGTAAAGCCTGAACCTGAAAAGGACCTGTTTGTTTATTGTGGTTTGTTTATTCCTTTTAAGCTAGCGGGATTCGAAAGCAGTGATGGAATTGAAGCTAATTAAGAACACCAATTTTAACTGATAAGAACCAGTTAGTAGTTTGTTTTAATTTACTGCCTCATGAAAAGACCACAGAATATTTTTGAAAATAGAATTCATAACTAAGTGTCCCATCATTTAAACAGAAAGAGTCTGACAGGCTCTCGACTCATATATGAATCCACCATCTCCTGCACCAGATTCTGTCTCGAATCATATATGTGTCCACCATCACTTGGGTCAGGATTCCTCTCGACTCATATATGTGTCCACTATCACTTGGGTCAGGATTCCTCTCGACTCATATCTGATTTCATCTTCTTTAAAGGATTAATTGTAGTTAATGTTTATTTATTAAATTAAATTATTTGATTGTTGTTTTGTGTGATTTACTTTTATTATAAATTTTACAATTAAAAAAACAAACAAAAAACTATAGTTTTGTCTTGCTCTGCGGCTGTGATTTGGAAACTCTTATTCTAGAATGTTTGGGTCACTTTAAATGTATAACGTACTTAAATAATTTTTTTAGCTTTATTTTAATTATTTTCCTTTTCCAATTTGGTTTAGCATATATTACTTTTTTTCTTCGCATTCTGCCGATTTTATAAATTTGCTGTATGAATGAAAACCCATATTTTGTTTGTTTTTTTAAATTATTGGATGTATTTTAAATTTTACTTAAGTGAATTTTATTGAATCAATCCATACTCTATTATGTAAACTTTACTATGAGATTGAATGGGACTAAAGGGTGTTATTCATTTTTATGTGATGTTATCACTTATCATAGAATATTATTTTAATAATTAAAAAATAATGTTTTTGTTATTTTAGACTAGTATTGTGAGTATGGTTTATACACAATCTGAAATTCTACAGAAGGAAGTTTATTTATTTGAAAGATTAGATTCAAAAAGTTCTGATGAACCAATGAAACATTTAAAATGCATTGTTTTTATAAGACCATCCAAGGAAAATGTTAGCCTTCTTGCAAATGAACTACGGAACCCAAGATATGGAATGTATTATATATGTAAGTTAAATAAAAATGAAAAAATGTTATACTTTCTTTTCTCAATTTAATTGAATCATTTATTTCAGAAAAGACGGTACATGATTCATTTTTGTCGAGGAAGTCTTTTAAATCCCTGCCCACACCCCTGGCCCGGGAAAACCCTCTATAGCCTTAATAGCGAGGAAGGGGAGGACTAAAAGAAAAAAAAAAAAAAAGAAATGTTTATATATTTCAGAAGCAATTGTCTTTTTAATCATTATTCACATAGTTATGTGTAAATCTATCTCTGTGGTGCTACAACGCTAAGTGGATCTTGACCTCAATAAGCCTCCGCCATTCGTCTCTGCCTTGTGCTGCTGCCTCCTTCCAGTTAATGATCCCTAGATTTATTGCGTCTGTTTCCACTCAGTCAGCCCACCTTAACCTTGGTCTTCTTGCTCTTCAGGTCCCATGAAGAACCTCTTCAGATACCTTTGTCGGGATTTCTTCTTAACTCATGCTAGCCACTTATTTGGAACATTTGTTTCCGACAGTACCTCATACAGCTTTGTTCTTTTTATGCTGTCATAAGCATTTTTGAAATCAATTAGTAAGTGATGAGTTCGCATCTTATATCATGACTTATTTCCAAAATTGTCTTTAGCATACCTACTTGGTCGATGATCGATCTACCCTTCCAGAAACCAGTCTGATATTTCACTATTTATATCTCAAGCATAGTAGTTAGAGTGTAAAATAGTTATGTTTAATTAAAGAAAAAATGAGAAAATGAACTGAAATATGATTTATTGCAGAACCAATTCAATTATAAATTTTTTCAAAATTCATTCTGAACATCTAATGATATCTATATTGCTAAAATCTGGTCTAAATAATGTAAAAATTGATTGTTTACATTTTGTATTTTTATAGATTTTTATCTTCTGAATCATGAAAATGTCACATGTGTCATTTCTGAAATGACTGATTTTCAATGCAGTTTTTCTTTTCCAACTAAAAATAATTTAAATTTCAGTTATAAAAATAAATTTTTGTTTTAATTAACCATTATGTATTGACTGAGTTATGAAACCTGTGTATTCTTGTTCAATAGACTTTACATACATTATCCCTAAAGAAGATATTAAAACGCTTGCTGAATGTGATGAAATTGAAGTTGTGAGAGAAGTTCAAGAATTTTACGGAGATTACTTGGCAATAAGTCCTCACCTATTTTCTCTAAACATTGTCGGATGTGGATCTTATGGTTAATATTATTTCTTTCTAGAATTATGGGGTTAACTAACATATAAATTATTTAAATTTTTATATATATATTTTTTTTAGCCAATAAATTAGTATGGGACCCAATACATCTGATGAGAACAGTACAAGGAATAATTGGAGTATTACTTTCTCTAAAGAAATCTCCACTTATTCGATACGAAGAGTCATCCGATATGTGTAAACGTTTAGCTGACAAAGTTTGGGTAAATTCACCTCTCTATATTTTATGTTATATCTAGATGATTTAATTATATATTTTTGTCCTTTTATTTAATCCAATAGTGTACAGCATAATATAAAATTTAATTTAATATGAAATTTAATATAAAATTTATTATAGAAGAAATATGTGTACTTTATGTCAGTTTTTTCAATGCTCCATAACTTCTAAAATAACCATGATTTTTAAAAGTTCAAAATAGAAATAGAAAATAAATTTATTCTGGGACAAAGTCCCTTTAGAATAACAAAATAGTAAACAATTAAAAGACTACATCTGGCCTAAATAAAACAATAATAAAAACAGAAAAAGTAAATAAAATATTAGTTAAACAAGCTATTTACAGAAAAATAAATAAAACTATGTACAAAACACTAACAACTATGACAAGACACTTAAAACTATGTACAGCAGGAAAATTATAAATACACACTTTTCCTTAAAAGTGTGTATTTATAATTTTCCTTTTTTATTTATTTTCCTTAAAATAAATAAAAAATACATTGAGTTCTTCTTTAAAATAAACTCTCTCATCAGCCTTTGTCACCCCTGATAGTACCTAGAAATATAAATTACACCACCTTTGTAGTGTTTACACAGCAGAGATTAACGCCGTAGCAATGAGTCTCCGATACGTCATGAAGAAGCCAATTGCAAATGTGGTTGTGGTATCGGATTCCCTAAGTACTCTGAAAGCCATGAATAACATGTATCCAGACCATCCAAAAATGCTTCATGAAGTTGGAACAACAGAACATTTTATCTGGTCGTCTGGCCATATAGGCATAAAAGGAAATGAAATGGCTGATAGAGCAGCAAAAAAAACTCTTACTCTTCCAGGCCACAGTAAAGCTTTTCTGACACTGTCTGAACTTGCACGACCTCTAAGAGAAACCATATCCCAAGAATGGCAAAGACGGAGGGACAACAGCGCACCTAGCAAATTAAAGACAATAAAGAAAGAGGTGCAACCGTGGACTAGCTCCAGACGCTGCAGTCTTAGAGAAGAGGTTGTCCTCACGCGGCTGAGGGTTGGACATACTAGACTGACACACCTCCATCTCATAACAAAAGATCTTATCCCCAGATGTCAAAAGTGTGACCAGTCACTAACCATAAAACATGTTTCGGAAGAGTGCCCTTTTTACACCGCAAGGTTTAAAGATCTCGGAATACCCCACAATATATCAGCATCCCTGGGAAATCAAGAAGAAATCATTACCAAAGTTCTCAAGTTCCTAGATATTGAAAGACTTAAACAACAAATATGACAAGTTTATAAATTACGATCCTTTGCAGATTTATTATTCTTTTTTATTTATTTACTTTATTTTATTTTATTTTTTTATTTTAAAAGTTCATTTGGTTATTAATTTCAACTCATTTATTGATTTATTGCTTTCTTTTTTTTTAAAGTTTATTTATTTATCTATTCTATCTTATTATCAATAAGTGTGTATTGTTATTTTTATTTATTTATTTTATTTCATTAGTCCTTTTATTTAATTATTTTTATCCGTTTTTTTATTCTTATTTTTGTACCAACCATCCAAACAGTATAAAAGTAGTATTATTTAGTTGATCGGGCGCTGATGACCTGGATGTTTTTGCGCCTAGACATCCAAACAAACAAACGATAAGCTCTGTGTTTCTGCTAACAAAGGAAAGACGAATCTGACAATATAAAATGTCTGAGTATTTAAATAATGAATAATGTTTGAACACATCATTATCTTATCGTAACTATAGGTACAGATTTAGTTGTATAAGAATAAAAAATAATAGTAAAAACAAACATTTGATGCATTCAGTGGCCATAAGAATAAGAAGATGTTGTAATATCCCTAGTGAAGTTTACAGTATGACTCTGTAGTTTGCCATTAATAATAGTAATATCAATAATAAACTTAACATTAAATAAGATATCAAATTTTGACTGTATAGCTCAGTTGTGGGTTATTTTGAAAATCTTTTTATTCCTCGAAATTTTGGACTAATCATTGCATATGTATAAAGCTTTATCAGAGAAAGGAACAAAGCCAAGTACACATATTTTTGTGTTATTTAAATTAATAGAAAGAGTTTTGAAATATTATTAGTAGAAAATTATATTTATTTTTGTATCACTAATTTGGAGCAAGTATGATATACTGTGTCTAAACAAACCTAAAGTTAATAAATATCATAAAGTCTAACTAATGTATTTATTTATTTATTTTTTTGTTTTAAGGAAGTAATGTCAAAGGAAGAAAAGCTGTTTAATCATCGCCAGCCAGAAGGTACTCCTTTATTGTTGATCCTTGATCGCAGAAGCGATTGCTTTACTCCACTGCTTACCCAAGTATGTACAGATCAAGTTTTATTCTAGGCATATTGTTAATAATTTACATGATTGAGCTTTTACTAGTGTGCAAGGTTTGTCCGTAAACTTCATATAAAAGTGAGAAGATCCTACGTCAGGACAATTTTAAAGAATGAACTAAAATATATTCATTAAAATGGTGTGTACTTTATTAATGAATAGAATTATATTTTCACATTTTATATTTAAACCGTCCTCTCTTTGTTTGTTTTCGTAATTTTTATGATTGGTATTTTTTTCAGTGGACTTATCAGGCGATGGTACATGAATTATTGGGTATATCGAATAATAGAGTCAATCTGAGTCACGTTCCTGATATTTCTAAGGAGCTTAATGAAGTTGTACTTTCTTCAGAACATGATGAGTTCTATGCTGATGTAAGTAATTAACGATATATTTTAATAAAATTTTAAATGGATCATGTATTGTTACCTTCCTGGCAATATAAATCAGAAACCATTTTTGTTTTATATTTATAGAGGTATATATACTTTTATTTAATGATTTTTTTTTTTTTTTCATTCATAAAACCTGAAATTTCATGGTATTTTTAATATGAAAATGATGATAAACCTACAAATGCTTCTAAATAAGTTTAAACAATTATATCCATTACCATTATGTTACCTTACCCCATTTTCTTGGTGATTTCACCATTTCTTCTTCAAATTTGTCATTCATTTAAACAATAAATACTTTCATATTCTTTTGACAACCATCTTTGAATTCAAGGTATTCAGTTTTAAACTTTGTATATCCAGAAATAATATCATAAAGGATGCTATATAAGACCAATGAGTCAAGGAATCCCTACCAAACAATTAATTTGGGTTCGCTCTCTACTTGGAGACTTAACTTATGAGCCTTGACCATTAACTTCAAAAATTATTTTGGCTATATCGATGGTGTTGTGCAGACATGTGCTAAGTGCATACGATAAAACTTGAAACTTACCTTATGTGTGCACAGTACCATCGATATGTACTCTTTCTTTTCTCGAGAGCTAAAATTATATAGTAAAAATGTGTGTCATTTAAATTTGTCTTTAAGAAAGTTAAATAAATATATAATTGAAGTCAGCTTATATTTTCATCTTTGTTCTAGAATATGTATTTAAACTATGGAGAAATTGGTCAAACTATGAAAGGTCTGATGGAGGAATTTCAAAAAAAAGCCAAAAGCCATCAGAAAGTGGAAAGTATTGGAGATATGAAACAGTTCATTGAAAATTATCCGCATTTTAAGGTGAGACACCCTGTGTATATGATTTGAAGGTCTTAAGGCTTTATTGGATACATATACTAATATATCTAAACTAATCGTTTTAAATTTACTCTTTATAATTATAATCCAGTTTCATAACACATGTTATTTATTTTTTAGAAAATGTCCGGGACTGTTGCGAAGCATGTAAATATCATCGGTGAGTTGGCATCAACAGTTTCTAAAAGGAATTTACTGGAAATATCTGAAGTCGAGCAGGAAATAGCATGCCAGGATCAACATTATCAGCATTTACAGGTCTGTCTCTGAAAATCAGGGTAGGTAATTTTCAACAATAAATCCAACGCTCTCATAATTTATTCATAGTCTCGTTTCTCAAAGTTTAAACATATTAATCTAAAACTAGCCATACATTTTATTATGTATATATCTGATTTAAAGTAGTTTTATATTTTATCAATTAAATAACAGTAAATTTGACTTTTTGGCAATTTCTTAGAATATCCGATAATCATATTGAATATATTTATAATTTAAATACAATGTTTTATATTTTTAATTATTTAGAATTGTACATTATGTAATATATAAGTGCTATGACTGCATATAAAAAACTGGTGTAGTATGCACATCATACAATTTTCACGTTACTTTGTGTAGAATTCGGCATTTTCTTACATAGATAAGTGAACAAAAATTTTATAGATGGTATAACATACTCATAGTCCATGGTACAGACTCCTTTGATCAGATTATTATCACCCTCCTGAAACTTTGTAAATAGCTTCATCTCATCATGACCTACAATTATTTTATTTACGGATATTTTCAGAATTGGGGCGTTTTAAATCTGGAGATCGGCAAACTTTGTTTTTTTAATTAGGTACTAAAAGCTAGTAAGTAAATACCCATTTGCTTTCCACTTGAATAGTAAGATAATTTGAACCCAAATTTAAGAAAAAAGGTGGTCTTAAAAAATATTGAGCCATTTGGCATGACCTGCACCCTCAAAATGTCAAAATAATGAGGTCATATCGACCAAACGACCCAATATTTTTGTAGGCCACCTTTTTTCTCGATTTTTGATCAAATTATCTTATTGTCCAAGTGGAAAGCAAATAGACTAGCTAATTAAATAGACAAAGTTTCCGACCTCCTGTTATAAACGGCCCCATTCCATGATTATCTGTAAATAAAATAGTTGTAGATTACGATGGAATAGAAATATTTATTTATGAAGGCAGATGTTAATAATTTGATAAAAAGAGGTCTGCTCCACGAACTGTCATTTAAAACATTTAATTAATTACCATACATTTTTTTTACTTATCTGATCTTTTAAGTTTAAGTTTATGCATTTTTCCTCACTTTCTGTTTCCTTTTAAAACTGCTTATTTTAATTATTTATTCAATTATAAATGTACCACAAATTAATTTTAGTCTGAAGTGCTACAGAAAAAAAAATTGAGATATAGCACTTGGGTGGGGAACATTTTTAATATTTGCTCTATTTTTATTTTTTTTTGGCCTAGGCATATATATAAATTTTAATTTTTATATTACCATAATCTATCTAGTTCATTATTAAATATGAAACTATTTATGAAAACCACACACATTCTATTGGACTCATGCTTGTCTCCGCTATAATGTAGCATAATAAGCATTTTTTTGGTTAAGAAACCACCGTAATCCATTGGTTACTTTCGGTCGTTCTCTAGCACACTCAATGCTTAGCATAGCACCTTCATTGCTTCTTAGTCCTATCTGACTTGATCTTAGTTTTTTTTTTTAGTTTGTGAAATTTGTTGATGGCTTAATGGTTTAATTTGCCATTTAAGGCTAGTCAGACAATTTAAATGAGATGTCTGATATTAAAGATCACTTAACGTTACTTTAATATAATGACTTAAATTAAATTGTAAGAGGCCTTTTTGAAAAAAAAAATTGTAAAAATGTGTAAAATCGATATAAAGTCGATTTTTCTGAAAAAAGTTACTAACATCTCAGGTTGTACTATAGGACTTCAGTGGGAATCTTGGGCTGACTTAAGGGAAAAAAAAAAAAAAAAAAAAAATGGGTGTATACCTAGCTCAAATACTTAATTTAAGTTTTCTATGATTTTATTTTTGGATTTGACTCTTCACATACACACAAACCATTTTGCAGGATTTGGTTATTTTGACTTAACATACTTCAAGTATGTATTTTCATTCAAAACTTGGATTCTCAATTTTTTATGAGCTCTATACTTTCTCTTACTATACTGTAATATCTCTTATATTTTTTAAATAGTAATATAACCTCGGAAGATCACTTCATACTGTTGGGATACTTCCTAAATAAATAAGAGATTGTTAAATAATAAACAAAATTATAAGAATATTGATATATTAAACTAAACTTTATAATTATTTTATCTCAGGTATCGGTTACTGACAATCAGATCAAAACACTCAGACAAACTAAAATTAACTGCACTAAACACTGTTTGATTTTAAAATAAAGTCAAGCATGAATTGGCAATCTTATCTTTTTCTATATACGCTGTTTCTTCCTTTGTGCCATTGAATTCATTTGTCTTCAAACATTTTTCAAAGTTCTGCCAAACAAACCTTCCAAAATGGTGACACTTTCATCACTCAACTCAAGCTCCCTGGGAGACCATCTTTCTTGTAATTCCAAACAACTAGTGCCCCAGCCAAACAACAATTTTTTTTTGGGTCCTCCCCTTCCTCGCCTTTAAGACTATACGGGGTTTTTCTGGGCCAGAGGGTGAGGGCGAGGATTTTAAAAGACATCCGGCACAAGAACGCAAAGTCATGACTATTAGTTATCAATTCAGGGTTGCCAGGCAACTGCAATGCTGTGTACAGTGATTAGCCCATTTGGCCACCCCGCCCCCACAAAAAAGTATTCCTTGACTTAGGATTCGAACGTAGGTCTCCAGTGTGAGAGTCGGACACCATTTGACTTTTCACATACACCAGTAATACCATCTGTTTGCCAAACAAGAATTTTTTTTTTCCTTGTTCTTCTCTACCTCACCTTATAGGCTATACAATTTTTCTGAGTTGGAGAGTGAGGGCAAGGAATTTAAAATCCCCTCCGGCACAGGGACGCAAACTCGTACTTTTTTAATCTCATAACTTTGGTTATCTAGTTGCCGGGCAACTCGCGGTGCTGTGCACACGCGTTACCCCTTTTGCTCACTCTCCATCCCTCTCCCTAGCCAAACAAGAACTGCTTGCCAAAACAAAAATCCTTTGTCCCTTCCCTCTCGGAGATTTTCCTTTTAGGAGAAACTACGGAGCAGCCATTTTCTTTTCCCTGAACTAGTGAAACTATTTTTCAAATTTAAACATCTCCTGACATTAGCAGAACTAGATTAGCTTGCCTTTTAACTGTTCAACATTAATTTACTAAACCATTTTTACCAACTTCCAATAAAGGTGTATATTACAATACACTTCTTACATGGATGAGTGAATGTAATTTATGATTCTTGTTATGAAATTCCCATAAAAGAGAAATTATTCTTATATATTATTAAAAATTATTATAATAGCTAATTTATTTCCTATAGCATTTTTCAGATATGCTTTGTATTCTAATTTAATTATATATAATATTTAATTTATTTTAAACTCATAATATGTAAATAAACAATACAAATGCTTAATTACTTAATGATCCTATTTGAAATCACTTAATACATTTATTAATCACACTTCATATCTTTTTATTTATGACTATTATTTGGTGATCACTATTATTATAGAAGTCTTTTAATTAACTATATTTTTAGTCCTGCTCTTTTATGTAGCTGTAATTTTTCATCGATTCTACTTGTTATAAAGTCTTAATGGCCTTATGATGGCTTACTTCTATTGAAATAAAAATAAGTAGAATACATCCTAGAAGTTTTGGCTTAAGATAGGAGGCATTCATTATCTCCCTTATTTTATTTCAGTATTATTTGCAGCCTTAACTGTTGTTATTGTTTTATCATATTTCATCCAAGAGATTCTACTTCAAGGATTTCCATGCACTTTCAGCCTCCAAGAAACTTTTCAGATTCTCTGAGAAAAAAAAATATATTAACAGAGACCTTGATGAACCGGTTGTCTATGTATTAGAGCAGTAGGGAGGGTGTTGGGAGGAGCTGCGAATTCTTGTTTTACTCCAGCTCTTTTTATAGCGAAACATGACTAAATTATTATTTTCTTCTTCATTTAGTTTAGTAAATAGAATGATAACATAATAAATAAATAAAAACCTGTATCACTACAATCCATGAAAGGTTTTGGGTTCAGTACTTTGTTAAGATAAAAAATTGATAAATCAAAATTACATTATTTCTACATAAGAGAACAAATCAGTTATATTATTAGAAAATTTTATATAATTAAGTTTATGTATTTATTTAATCATCACAATATAACTCTTAATCAAAATTCGCCTTTATCATATATGTTCTAGTTGAACTGAAAGTTTGATAGTTGTACGCCATTCGATAGTAACAGTAAACTTAGTGCTCATGATTTACTTAATTTAATATATTACACTATTGCTTAGCTATGGATTGATTGGAACCATTTATCGAGTCCGTTATCAAAAGAAGCAATATAATTTAGAAGTAACTATTTTGATTAGTACAATTTTTTGACTCTTGTAAAAGTGATTTTAGAATTTTAAAAAAAAAACATGAACACAATTTTGATGTTAAAGAAATACAATTAAACAAAAAATGTCATCCTGAAGAAATATTTTTCCCCTCCCAAATCATTATAATCTTTTCTGATCCTTTCTTTATAGCTTATTAATTTTTTTTTTTTTTTAGCGTGTCAGAGCATTAGTGCAAAAAGTAAGCAACAATGATGCTGTTAGGTTGGTCATGCTTTACGCCCTCAAGTATCAGGATCACAGTAATAGCGACATTACAGGGCTTGTTGATGCATTGAAGAAAAAAGGTGTTCCTAATCAAAGTTACGAAGTAAGTTTTTTTTTTTAATTAGTAATTTTATTATTTTTACATATTATAATTACATATACCAATGATGGACATAGCTTAGTAAAATTTTGTCTCATGCCACCGTAATTATTATAGTTATAAACTTCTCCGTTGAACATTTAGAATCTCTAGGGCCTTTTTCTATTTAGCACTTTAAAATTGAAAAAAAATATTCAGTTATGTTGATATAATCTCCATTAAAAAAAAAAAAAAAACTTTTTGCACTAGTAATGGATACTCTAAACTTCATTATTGTTGTAGTAATGGACATACCTCAGAAAAATTCTACATTTTTATTTAACGATAAATTTTCAACTTAGTGTCAGCAAAACTGTTAGTAGGAAGTTATGAAACACGCTGATCTCAAGAACACTATAATATCAACAACAATGTTTGGCATTTCAAAATTTTCTTTTGGGAACTTTCTTCATACTTCTTCAATCTAGAAAAACTGTAACCTTTAAATCATCATGATAGCTAATTATTTACATTTAAAGTCCAACCTGTCCTTCACTGGGCTCCATGTCCATAACTGGTGTATTCACCTTAAATGTTTACTCAACTATTTGCTTTACAAAGTGTTTGTAATTATTTTTATATGTAATATTTATAGCTGTTTTACATGAACCAGTATGCGTGAATGTTCATGAGTGCTTCCATATTTGAAAGTGATGTATTTTCCTTTTGTAACCCTATTATTATTGGTTTGAATTTTAGGTACTTTTAGTCTAAGGGGCCGTTTTGAAACCTCACTTCTTATCTATCTTATCTAACGTCATGTCATCATGTTACATAACCTCCCTCTTGTTATCCCGCCAAACTTTTGAGTTATTGCATTGTTTAGTTTTCAGTTATTCCCTTATTACGTTCACTTATTAAATTGTTTACTTTTGGCCCGTTTGTGTTTATTTTTAGTTTTTGGCCCGTTTGTGTTTATTTTAGTTTGTGACCCTTTGGTGTTTATTTTTCATTTTTTTTTTCGTTTATTTTCGTCATATTACGGATCATCTTAGAATATGGGATTTAGAACGAAGCAAACTATGACCATTTCCAAGTGAATCACCGGTATAATTTTGTCGATCCATCAACTGGGGTTCATACTCAACACATAGAAAGATTGTGGGGCTCAGCTAAGTGGAGAAATAAAGTACATAGAGGAACTGCCAGACAACACCCCGATTCATATTTGTGCGAATTTTTGTGGCGGCGGGTTCAAAGAGAAGAGGACCCGTTCCTCGCTATTTTAAGTAGCATAAAACAATTTTGCCTTCCAAAATAAATAAGACAAAAGGAAGTGAATAATTAACTTAAAATAATTTGTATATACGTTGTTTATAGTGTTTATATTTTTTCTTTTCTATGTAAATATGTTCTTCTAATTTGTTATGATGCCGATGTTATGATTATAATTTGTTATGATGTTTGATGTTTTATATGTACATATCTTCTTAAAGTGTTTTTTTATTATTTAATTAATATATTAGCCGTCAAATAAAAGTATTTTTGTTGTTATTACATTTGTTTTTGTATCTGTTTACACTTTCAATAATACGAATTTAATACAATAATACGAAGATGTGAAGTAGGAGAAGGCTTATCACTGCGTTATGGGAGCTATCAGTGTTCAGGTTATAAACATTGCCGGATAGCAGTCAGTAGCGGCCCCTTAGACTAAAAGTACCGAATTTTATTATGGATTGGTCTTTTTTGGCCAAAGTTAAATAATAATCTTCACTTTATATAATTCGGTAGCATGACTATATAAAATCCCCGGCCCTTAGGAGCAAGGGATTTTGACAAAAAAAAAAAAAAAAATTTCTTGGACAAGGTTTTTAAAATTCCGATGTAGACATCAAGGCCCAGTAAAGTTCCTCTGGATCGTGTTTTGTCCCTAAAATGTATTATTTTCAAGATAGATCATAATTTAATTTAAGATACATTTTATGGTGGATTATACTCCTAATAAATTGATAAGTATCTAAATTCGCTATAAAACGGGGAGGGGAGAGGAAGACGAATGAACCATTTTTTTTTGTATGTCAATGATAATTATAATTTGTACAAACATTTTATTTTATTATTTTGAATGAACAATTTTAATTGACCAAGGAAAATAAAATTAATTCCTCTCACTCATAATACATTGTATATATATATATATATATATATATATATATATATATATATATATATATATATATACATATATATTTAATTAGGAAATGAGTAAATTCCTTAAAAAAGTTTTATATCCTACTATGAACGGACTTTGTATTATTATTGCATTTAATTTTAAACTTTTTTTTTTATTTTTGATATAAAATTATGTTTCCGCATTTCTGAAGATTATGCATTGTGACTTTAAAGCATTATTAATGAAATCAGATAATAAAACAATTAATTCTCTTTCAACAGATGGTCTATCGTGTGTTGGAATATGGTTTAAGGCAAAGTGAAGCAACTAACTCAAACATGGTTACTCAAAAAGCAGTCGTAAAAATAACCAAAAGGATATTTAAGGTAATTAATTTTTTAAAAATAATTATTAGTTTGTTAGTTAAAGTTAAAAAACTAATAAACTATACCTGTATAAAGTTTTACTTGGACCAATTTGGACTTATGGTATAGAACTGTGGGGTTCTGTTAAAATCTTTGACATTTAAAAAATTCTTATTTCCAGACAAAAGTGTTGTAAAAGATAATTAATGCACTGTTTTATGTTGTAAATGAAATATTACATAAAGACTTAAACATCTCAACAACTTTAGACACTGCAAAAATAACTACAATAATTATGTAGGCAGTGGCCAACAGATCTGTTGAACTGATTTATTTCCTTTGATGGGACGCTGTGAAGTTGTCAACAAAAATTTGCTCTTTACAAAGCAATTTGATGTTCGAATTTTATGTTTGTTTAATAAATAATAATAAATTTTGTAATTGATAATGTCAAACATATTTTTTTAACAAACAAGTTTCAAAATTTATATTTATTTACATGCTGCAAATAATTTTAAAAAAATATTTTTTGCTGTAGTTATTATTATTTTTTACATGCATATGAATGTATTTTGTTTAATTAATTATGGCGATGCTTAGTTGTTCTTGATGTGTTGATTATTTATACTGACTTTGATTATTATCAAAATAAGGACGATAAATCATTTGTGTTAAAAATAAACATAGCTATTGGTTTACTAATTGAGTATTCCCTGTATGTAGAATGTAATGAATATAAATAGAGCTGTACGATTTCTGTTAATGTAAACATTATTCATTTTAAAGGATTTGAAAGGGGTCGAGAATGTTTATACACAGCATAGTCCTATTCTGAAAGATATCTTGGAAGACTTGCTTAAAGGAAGGCTCAGAGAAAGTAACTATCCGTTCCTCGTAGCATCAGATGGTAATTCATCCATGAGCAGAAGGTGATATATTATTTCCTTATTGATTTAGTAAAGATTAGGTAAAGCTAGAAAATTCATATTTTTTTTTAAGTGTAATAATCTAATTAAGACAGCAGGGCAGTTAAGGCATTAAAGCTCTAGATTCCTAACGTCTATGTTCGAAACTCGCTGTAGCAGATAATTTGTTTTCAAGTCTATCAGCCGGAATTGATTCCGTTTTGATTAATTCTCTTTTTTATTATATAATAGATAAATTTGAAAAATCTTTATGAAATATATTTACTATAGTTAAATAACTCTAGATGAGATATTATATTTAAATAATTAGGTATCTATCGGCTGTTTATTCCAAAAAATCATCAAGTAACCTTTTAGAAAATTAAATTAGTGAATAATTTGCTGAATTTTCTCTTTGTGAAATCCCAACATTATCCACTTACAATTGGTGTGAAAACGTCTGACCTATCCATGGCAGGCAATATAAATCTCATAATTTGGTTTTAGTAAACTTCACAATGGAAAATAACAGTTTAATAACTAATAGTCCTACAATCGATAATCATTTATAGGTTAAATATTCAGATATACTTTCAAACCCCTCTAGGCATATAAGAGCCTTTTGGATGACAGAATGACTAACCCAATTTCAACATTCTTTATTACTAATTTTAGTGATTTCTCTTGTGGCAGAATTTATACCTTTATTCACTGTTCTATATTTCAACACTACAATCACCTACTCTGGGATCAACTTAATCACTGTCTTTATAGATCACTTTTTCAACTAGAAATATCACTAAAATGACATTACTCAAAAATGTTGAAATTGAAGTTGAGTCATTCTGTCAACTGAAAGGGTCAGAAACTGAAGTTGTGTGGTTTATAAAAGCAGATGAAGTAACTAGATTTTTATTGCCTACTGTCGATATTTAAATAGACTTTTTGTAATTTTAATGGTCTTAATAATTTGTTATCTGTAAGTTCTAAGCTTTAGCTCTGTTTAAAATGCACTTCAAAAATTTTATAGTAATAGAAAATAATTTCTATTCAAAGTAGAGCGGTATGTGAAAGTTGTGTGTTGCGCGCGCACCAGATTTTTTATATAAGATCTTGACACAAGAGTGCATCAGAACACCCCGAATATTTGATATATAGAAGTTCAAACTATATATTTTCTTTTATCTTATATTTATTTTTTTAAATGATTGATTTTTTTTTTTCTAGGGGTCAAGACATAATCGTGTTCATTGTTGGAGGCACTACTTATGAAGAATCGTTGACAGTTCATATGCTCAACAAGAACTATCCAGGTTTCAGACTGGTATTAGGTGGAACGACTGTTCACAACACTGCATCTTTCTTTGAAGAGCTTAACGTATGCACTCAAGGAATGCACTTAAGGCCTCAAAGGTACAAATAGCACTAAGGTGTTGTGTACCTGGAAACTGGATATTATGAAAATTTTTACTTATCTATCATATTTATTCCTCTTTGTCAAAAGTCATATGCTTTTATGTTAATATATTGACTACACTGTAGAAACTTGGCAGAAAGGTGTCAAAATTTGGTGAAAGATTAGTCATAAGATATTAATTGTATTCTTATAATAATTATTATTATGCCTCGAACTGTTAAACATTAGTCTAGTCAGTTTTGAAATTTTATTTGTTACAAAATATCTTTTGATATTTTGCCATTGAGAAATAAATATCTGGTATGAGGAACTTATTAAGAATAGCAAATTTTGTTGGTATTCATTCGAGTATTGACTACAGATATGTATTCATTATATGTTTTGATATCTTCAGAAGTCATATAACTTTTTGTAATCCATTGGTGATTTATCACAGAGACCTCTTAACATGAATGAGTTACGTAAATGAGACTGCCTAAATATGCTTATAAAGCATAATAATCTATAATGTCTGAATTATTATTGATATTCGTTTAAAATTGTGAAAAGATAATGGAAAGTGTTCTTTTTTAATTCACATTAGGACTGATTCTTATGCTTATATATGTCTATAAAAGTTATAATTATAAGTAATTATTTATATTAATTTATCATTTAGTAATAAACAGAAAATAATATTTCACAACTCGAAGTATTTTTAAACACTTAGCCTTTTTTTCTTTTACATTTTCGTTTAATATAATTTATTTTGGTTTACTTATTCATTTTGTTATTTTTTGAATTATATAATATGAAATTGTTATAACTGTGAACGGTTTCGGTTGAATATTTAATGCTGTCTTGTATTACAAACTTCTGGAGTTTATATATTTGTTCGGAATAATCCAACATCTAACTGAGTCAGTACACAACAAATTGTATAAATAATTGTAATATCAAATTGAGATGGTGGCTGAATTGAAGACACGTAAAATTAATATTTATTTTATCTTTTTATATAAAATCTATTAAATTATAAAAGCCTCGTCATAGGCTAGGCCTATTATTGATAATTGGTTTGCTCAACTATATTCTATTAATTTAGATGGGCTCATGTAAAATGCGTTTTTACAACTTTGTTGTCTTTATAGGATGGTTAGTTTTATAAAAATACTTTAAATTTGAACTGATGGAAATAAAGAGTCCTGTTTTGATTGATATGGTCGCTATAATGAGTTGAGAATTATCACTGAGGTTTATCACTTTTTATGTCTTCTTGATATATTTCTATGATCCATTTATTATTTCAATTAGACTACTACATATTCAAAAGGTTGATAAGTTATTCATATATAAAAATATCTATCGTTTTATAGTAAGTGCATTGATAGCATTCGCTAAAGTTTAGTAGACTATGCGGTATAACATTTTCTCTCAGCTCTCTAATTCACGCTTGTTACCAATTTATATTTTATTATTTTAAAATACAAAAACGGACATATTTTAATTTATTATTTTTTTTGCATGGAACCATTTGTATTTTGGTTTTTATGACATGTTGATATCTTAGGCGTATTACAGTTTTGTATCTTAACTGTCTTAATAATGGTAAATTTTCATATCATAAAGTGAGAAGAAAATTTTAGAAATATTTTTCATTTAATAAAAATAAAAAAATGTATAATGAATTTAAATAATTGAAAAGATATTTATACCGATTGAAGTTTCTTTTTAAACAAAAAAATAAAAGCTATTTTATAATCCAGTTTTTCTTCAATTTCTAATTGATATATTTTCCAATGATAACCGCTATTGGAAAATAATATATCTTATAATAATTTTTCTTGTGGTTTGTGAGGTCAAATGGTTCATTTTAATAATAATTTTTATTTAATTGCATAGAGAAATTTCTTACTTTTCAAAAATGAGACTATTTTTCATTGCTTTCCAGCCACCATTCAGTTGTTAACCTAGGCGTTTAAATAATGAAAAACAAAATCACAATTTTGATTGCAGCTAACTTAATACTACTTATATTATTGTAAATGTTACTTATAGGTTTTCTTTTAATACTTTTTTTCTTTATCTGTATTAGAGTAGTCAAATTTATTACTGTATTAAAAATGTATTCATAGATATATTTATAAATTTACTAATAGTAGTAAACTTATTTCAATTTAATTACTGTAAATCAGTATATTTTAAAAATAATTTTAACAAATATCAAATCATATAAAGCCAAAATGGTTGCTTAATGTATATAAAGTCATAATTTATTTAAAATGTAACTTTCTTGCTGTATAAATGAAGCAGGCCCAACTTGATTATTGTAACTGCATTCAGTTTTTTTTTTTTTTAGTTTAAAATAATCAAATATCAAGAAATTTAGCTTATTTCACTATATTATATCATTGCACCTACTGAAATACTAATGACATGTTATTTTTAATAATTTTGTATAAAAATCAATTCATGAGTTGTTATATATGAAAATAGTGAACATTGCAAGAATATTATTATCGTTTAAATTTCAATTCATGTTAAAAAGTATTTTCTATGTATAATTTTATTGCTTGATAAGGTTTTGTTTTATTATATATTTTTCTCATGTGAGATTTGTAACATTCCATTTTTTTCAGATATATATTTATGTATAATGTATTCCATGATAAAATTGTATAATTTTATCCATTCCTGTGCAGGTTTAATAACTACTTGTAATTGAATTATATATTATAATATATTTATCTATGTGCAATTAATTATTATTTATTATATCATCAACAAAAATATTATAGAAGTAATGATTCATTAAACGTTTTTGTTCAATAGAAAATATATAAACTATTTATAAATAAAATATTCTTTGCGTCATTTATTAATATTATGAATGTTTTGAAGAGATAAATTACAATATTTTTATAAAAACTTTTAGTTTTTAGTGATCACTCAGATGTCTAAAATTGATATTCTGTTTGATAATTTTGGATATAAATAGCCAACAAATTACATAATTAATACAGTTTTTATAATCGGTTTTGATGTTTCGAAAAATAAACTTTAAATTGTCTGTTTTCGAACATTTCAGTCTTTGTTATAAAAAATAATAGCAAAGTGAGTCAAAATGTGCTTAGCAGAAATAATGATAATTTATCTGTTATGGCTAACTGTGCATATTATACATAAACCATTTTAAATAACACATCGATTTCTTCAATCTCAAGGTATACAAATAGCCCGAATTACCAGGAGACCTTAGTCAAAGTAGAGGAAACTATGGGAAATGGCAGATTTCCTGCAACCATTTTAGCTTGTTTATTAAATACACTTATCTCCTATTTTATGAAGTTATTGGTACCTTTATTTCAAATTATAATGACCCACAAACTCAAATTAGTATTTTATTCATTTTTAATTTAAATTATTAGTATGACACCCTTATACTGAATGTGGTTATATAATAGAACAATGTCTTTATTAACTATTATTCATCAACACGAATGAAAACATTATTAGGACTTTGTATCTATGCTTTTAGATTGGTTTTGATGACGTCCTGAATTGAGAGGAAATAATGTAATGAATATAACCTGTGGACATATTTCAGTGGAACCATATGTATGAATGCATATGTACCAGCTTGCTGATTGGTTTAAATTATGAGTAGTTCCACTAATTTATTTTACTAAATCAAATTTTACTTACAGCTAAATAGCAATTGGAATTCATGTCATACCTTGTTCATAATATAGTAGTCAAAAAATAATCTCACAAAGAAAGAAGTACAATAGTTAAAATTATTCTGTATGAATGATAGTCACCAATTGTATATATCAAAATTAATTAATTAATCATGTAGTTATTTAAAAGTAATGTTTTGAGATTAATAAAACCCTCCAAAAAAACTTAATGTATTTCAATGATGAAGTTGAATGATTAATTTATACAAATAATCTTTATTTTTTAGATAACAAGATGGTATATTTTAAAGTACTAATCAGATTAATATAAACACACACAAAACGAAAAACATATTTAAAGCGGTTTTCAAACAATACTGAGCTCGATATTATTATTTATGATAGTTCTGGTAATTGCCGAAAGATTACAGCACCTACCGACAAAGTTAAATAAGTTTGAGGTAATAGTTTTAGCATCCGTTCATAGAGAGCAGCACCTTCCAACAATGCTAAATAAGTTTGAGGTAATACTTTTAGTAACCGTACATAGAGAGCAGCACCTCCTTACAAAGCTACATTGGCTTATTATTTAAAGTCAAAACTGTTAAATTTTCTTATTTTATCAGCACTATTTTAGTTTAGAAGTTTAATTGTGTTGTTTTACGGATAAATTTCGTTTATTATTAGATATTATTTATTAAATAGTTACACATTTTAGTGTTTAAAGTGATAGGTTTGGTTTCATCTTCACATACACTTATTTTATAAATGTTATTTTAGTTTAAACGTTTAATTGTATTATTTTAGTGATAGTTTTAGTTTATTAATAGGTATTTTTTATTTATTTATAGTTTTAGATAGTTATAAATATTAGTGCTTGAAGTGATAAGTTTGGTTTCATCTTCATCAACTTATAATCCTGAGTATAATTTAATTCTTTACTTTATTTTATTAATTTTACTTTTTAATTCAGTGGTAATGAAAGAAAAAGATGGAAATCAAGTTTGGAACTAGGTGATATGAAGATAGTGTCTACTATTAGAGGTATTCTATGATTTATTGTAGAATGTGTTATAATTTGAGGCTACTAGCTAACACAATTTTTATTTTGAAGTTAGTGGTTCATAGTAATTTGGTTTTCCTTTATAGTTATTGTTATTTTCATCATTTAAAATCTGGGTATAGGTGATGATCCTTAGCTTTATTGAGATCTTGAGTAACTTCTATAATTAGTTTTCATTTATGCCAGAATAAGTGATATGGTACTCATCATGATTGATTTTTAAGAAATTGATTGTTGTGCTGCAAAAGTTCTGAAATGAAATATTATTTTTCTTAATAATTCAATTAGTAATTGAAATGTTAAAACTGTTGTTTATATAAGATGGTTCAACTATCATTTAAGGATCATCAACTATATTCATATTTTAAATATTGAAGCTAACAATAACTGTATAGGAAAATGAAATTTAAATTTTATAGTTGAAACCACTGACTTCAAAATATAAATTTTAATAGCTAGTAGCCTCAAGTTATAGAAATTTTCAAATCACCAAGTTTCAAACTTGATTTCCATCTTTTTCTTTCATAACCACTGAATTACAAAGGAAAATTAAGTCTTAAGAAGTCATTTTCAAAACCTTATGTGCCAAATCAACCCAGTAAGATGTGATTTAAAAGCATTTTTAATAGAAAAAAATTAGTTCTGTTGATGCAGAAGACATTATTAATTGTCGCAATATTAAAGATAGCATTCTTAAGGTTTATTGTATTCAGACTTCTGATAAATTCAATTAGAAAAAATAATTTTCCTCATTTGTCTGTTATTAGTTGTAAATCTGTAAATGTATATATGCAGCATTTATAAATAAATATTATCTGTTTTATCTTTTGTTTTTTCTTATATCCCTTTGTTGATT